TCCTGTCAACCCCACTTAGCAATGTATTCAATTAACTGAAGGATTTCTAAGAGCTCTTTAAGCTATGGGTTTACACAAGAATGTAAATATCTGCGTAATTATGGGAACATACTTCCTGAAATGTGGCTGCTTTGGGCTTCTTAATCAGATCAGAGATAACTAGCAAAACCACAGTTTCAAACCCTCTTCCTTCTCCATGCTCCAGTGCTCCTCCAGTGCTACCCTGCCTCAGGGAAAGTCTCTGAGTAATGAGCACGAGCACAGCAGTTTACCATGGCCTCCTTCCCCTTTCCTGTGGAGGGGATGTGACTGGAGAGCCCCCTTATTCTTCCAACCCAGCCGCAAGGGTGGTCTGTAGACAGGCAAGTGCAGCTAGTACCATCTTGGCAGTCTTCTGAGAGGTCCAGAACTGGGTGGCACCTGGCAAACAGTTGATGTATATAGCCAACTTTTACTTCTGCCCATAACTGAGCTCCCTAATATCAGTTCTCATGTCTCTATGAGCTTCCATTTGGTTGGTTTGGTTGCAATATATGACTACATTGTACTTCCTTTCTTAAGTCAGATCTCTTGGAAGATAATAATAGAAAAATCTACCAATGCTTAGAATGTATCTGGGAGATAAACCACTTTTCATAATTCCAACATTCTGCCCACTCCTCTAAACCAAAAATTCCCAAACTTAATTCAACAAAGCATGTTTTGTCCACAAATGTTTAGTGGCATCCTATCAAAGAAAAAAAAAACTCTTTTTCTACTGGTATAGAAGTAATACTAGTTAAGGCATCCCATCTATATCCTCCTTCTACTGTTTGATATGAAATAGTTGATGTTAAAGGCATGTAGTTGTCCATGAAGTTGCTAATGGTCCATGATCCAGAAAGTTAAGAACCTACAACTGTAGGTGAAAACTCTGTCCTCTTGTGAGCTTTGCATCTTGAACACTGTTGGAAACCTTTGGAGTCCATCATTCAGCAAAAATATTTGTTGATAATGACATATAGTCTTGCTGGAGCCTCAGCTTGGCTGCTGCATTCCAACTCTCTCTAATGTCTGCTCTGTAAGGGCAATTTTGAGTGCTAGAATTAGGAAATCAGAACTACTTTTTTGTTGTTTTAAATAAAAGTGATGAGTGACATTGGACAAGATCACAAAACAAAACACAGCTTCATTTAGCTTGCATTCCTTATCTCATTATTTCATTTCTGAGTTTACCCAAAAGTTAAGCTGATTCTCTCATCAAAGATCCACTGTAGCTTCACATTTCAAGAGTATTTTACTTGAGTAAAGTGAGTGTTTTCCTCGTTCCCAAATGTGTCATGAGAGAGAAAAAAATATTTAAAGACAAAAGGAACAAAAAAAGCTTGTATTTTTGTTATACATAAATAGAAGTCTACATGGGGAACACTTGCTTCCACCTCTAAAAATCAGTATCATTCTCAGCAGGTAACAATAGTGATAACTCACTCACTCAACAGCCATTCAAATTACCATTCAAATGCAGTTCTTTTTGTTGAAAAATAATATTCATTCATCCCTTTCAACTTACTGCACAATCTCACTGAAATAAGCTACTTCATGAGAAATGCATGTGGATAAAGCAGTGCTTAGATGAAGGGCAATATAGGTTAACATTTTCTTTAGTTCATCACCTCTTGAACAGACTCCAAAGCTGAATAAAATCTTCCCGTGTGGTATTGCTCTATTTTCAGACTTCATTAAGGCTGAAAGCCTTCACTGTCCAGGGGTTTTCAATGCAAAAACAAGCAAAACAAGTCGGTTTGAGAGAACAACTCAGCTGGTTAGCGCAGACTAAGAGCAAACAGTAGGAGACTGAATTAGAGAAGGATTTCTTTGGTCTCAACTGAATGGTTACCCTCATCCTGTTTTTAGACTATATTAATCTCCACCCCAAGAAAAGTAGACGTAAAAAAATACATCTCAGAGGTCTGTTGCTTTATACTACAAAGAGGCAAAAACAACACCATCAGTTAAAATGGGGATCAATAACACTTGTCTGTCTAAAATATTGGCCTCAGCTTTATTAGTTATTTAATTAATAATTAAATAATTAGTTATAATATTATATATATAGATATAAAACTAATAAATGATTAGTTATAATGATTGGTATAAAATGATATTACATAAAAGTCCCAAGGTCTGCCAGAAGAGGTGGACTTACTGTTTTAAGTATGATATAGATATACTTGTGGACAATATGGTCTATAACCTAACTAGATAATTAATAGAGAAAGACTTTGGAAGAAGGAAATACTTGCACATGGGAAGGTATGCCACATAGCACATCTGCAGCTGATGAGCCAGATTTCTTGAATCACCTTCCCATGCTTTAACTGTGAAACCAAATTTCTTTTCAATATTAAGTCATATCATTCTTCAGCACTTTTATGATGGAGATGAAGCTTTACGAATTGTTTTTCTTCTCACTTCACAGGATGGATACCCTGAAAAGTTGATTTGGATCCCAAACGTCAATTATTCACATCCAGGCTCAGAGCCTTTAGTGTGTGAATCTGTCATAATGCTGAGCTCAATTCTATTTCTTTTGCAATGTATTGATACTGAATATATTGATATTGAATAGGGAATCATACTTGGCATGTGCTATTTTAATATTTGCCTCCTTTGGGATATGCGTTACCAAAAAGAATCATGAATAACCTTGATGACACAGACTGACTCAGTTCTATAGATTAACTACAATGTTTATTTCATCATGCCTTTATTCCCTTTTTTTGTTAATTTCCTAACCTTTTTAGCAAACAGATTCTCAAAATACTTTAGTGTATCTGCTTTCACAGGTAGCTGAGCTATGCTGGATTTAAGACTAACTGATAATTTTAGCTAATAGTGCAGGTCCTAATCTAGTTCACTAAATATCAAGAGAATGATTTGCCAAAATAAATGAAGAGTAACTCCCATGATGTCTGAAAAGCTATATTAGGATCAAATTATTAGAACAGAAAAGTTTTCCTTAACTTGATTTTTTTTCTAAAGAAATAATATTTTAATTAACTTCTTTTTATTCTTTTGCCTTCTGTTTTTAAGGCACTAGGCTACTTACAGAAGAAAAGCAAACGGTGATTATGGAAGATGAAGAAAAGGAAGGAGACACAACACCCAGTTAAGATTATAGTGATATCTCCAATAATGTAATGTAAATAATAATTCTGGGTCATTCGAAGTGGCAGCGCATAGAGAAAAAAAAAGCCCATTCATTTTTATAAATAATAATTCTCTTAAATATGCACTTGAATTTAATTTATCTTCAAGTGCTTATCTGCATCTCATGAAATCCCAGGAAGCAGCACAGGAGGCGACAGAAAATTCATTTACACCTGGAGCTGGAAGAATTCCCTTGGCTGATTCAGAATCGTTTTCCAGTACTTTTGTCTACAGGGATTCCATCTCAGATCAAATCTGGTTTTGCATAACACAGTGAAAAGAAAAGGGTCAACACAAATGGCACTGCTGACCCAGCGTCAGCACTAGATACCAGCGTGGATGTTAGCATAGGGCAGTGCATTTTCTGGCCATTCTTTCTTGATTATACAGACTGTGTTGGCGTAAAAGCCTGGCTTTTCCTTTTCCTCCCTCCTGTTCCCCTAGGATGTAGCACATCAACTAGAGACTCAAAACCATGTTTTTCTCCTGACTTTCTGCCTCATTAGTCCAGCTTTTCTCTGCTGGAATATTGTTGACTGCAGTGAAGTTCCCACGTGGAAAATTGAAGTGATGGACAGTGTGGGAGAGAAGGAATCAAGCCTAGAGTTCCTGAAAAGCAAAGCAGACACTTCCTATGACTGTATCTGTTCACAACTTTGTTTGTAAAGAGAAAAAGGTAGGTTTATTGTAGTAGGAAAACTTAAAGCACATCAATAGTGACACATCAAGCAAAGCACAGGGCAAAGTCCTCAGAAAGGGACCATACTGGAAGTGCAACATTTGCCTGTTGTACCAGTATAGTCTGTTGATTTTTTTTTTCTTTTAAAGGTTTTATTCCTACGCAGGTGAAAAATGAATGAATTGGATACCTGATCCTTTTACTTTACATTTTTTCTCTTGATATGTGCTTTTTAAAAAAGTCCTAGCTTGTCAGTTAGGAGGAGCTGGGAAGACTGGAAATCACAGTGGAGGATTCAGAATTGAGTAAAAAGAACAGCATTACTCAATCACGTGCATACTGAAAGGTAAAACAGCATCCCGCTTCTTACCTAATAAGTTAATTCACTGATTCAACCCGGAATTGCTCTTACAGCTAGCTACAGGCTTCAGCATTTGTACAAACAGGTGGGTACCTGTAGAATATTATACAAAATAGGTAGGACTGAGTAGTTCTCTGCTTACCTTAATAGCTCTGTATGCTAGATGGAGCCGCGCTGCCAGATGGATCCTTCAGGACCTCAGCACAGAGGCTAAAGATTATCCAACCTGGCAGACTGAACTCAGTTACTTTTTTAACACCCTTAGGCAAACAGCTGAGGTACACACTAGCTAGGACTTCATTTGCCACAGTGACTGACCCAGCATCTTTCATACGAATGCAGTCCATCCGCAAATGTTCAGCTATGAGATGTAACCAACAAGCTTGTAATAAAGGATGATATACTGAAGCATACAACAGACTAAGATATACTATTATTATTATTATGGGACATCTGATAGCTAGAAGGTGCACTTTTTATTCTGTTAGTTTATCGGTGAGACAGATAGATAGTATTTAAAATAGGATCAGCAAATACTTGAAATAATACTATTCATGTAAACAACACAGTAAAGTTTGTCATAGCAAGTATAGAAATATAGACATAATCTATACTTATGAGCCAGTTAACTGTGTAATTTTTAGTTTTTGCAATTGGAAGCTACAATTCTATATCTGTATAATTTCCTTTCAAGCACCACTGAGATATTAGAACCTATATTTCATGTCCTTAGAAACCAGATTTTTTTTTTGGTGGACAGTATTTCTCCTACCTTGAAAGCCCTTCTCCCTGTCAACCATGTTTTTTTCTGGATTTCACCCAAATAACCCAAACAAAGTCCAATGATTAAGTACAGAAATATTTACAAGACATGGAGCAGGGGTAAAAGTTGCTAAGAGGCCAACTCAGCATATATTCACAGACTGAGACTATGAATAGAATCAGAATAAAGGCATATACTGTTTTGCCATTGTGAAAGGAGGCCCATAGCATAAGAGACTCCCTATACTTCTCGTGAGGGCTAAGGAACCATGACAGCAACTTGCTTTCATGTAAGAGACACAATTTTTAAGGTGGAACGGAGAATTATATTGGTGCTGAAAGAAAATAAATGTCAGTCTTGAGTTAGTCAAAGAAGATATTCATATATTTACACATGACAGTTCACACCTGCTAAGAACCTGAGCAAGATGAGAAATTAGTCTCTTCTGACCTTAAGTTCTCCTTTTCTGCAGGAAGGCTTCATACAATTTCAAATAAAAAGAAACACCAAACTCTATTATCATCTTCCTTAGAGTTACCACTCCAAACTTGTCTCTCTGCAAAAAGATAAAGGTTTCCCAGAGTTTATTGATAATAATCTCCTGGCCAAACTCATTCCTCCTTGAATTATATTGATGTCAGCTGAACTGTAGCTGGGCAGGTGAATCTCACCTAAGTCTCTAAAGGAGCTTTAGTCCCATACAAAAGTTTATGCCTAGTGTGAAAGAAATATATATCATACTCACCTAAGGCCGTCAGCCTCTGCTTCTGTGGTGATATGAGGAGAACAGAAGGAAATATCTACATAATGTGCAAAGTCGGGGCCATCCTGTTGGAACCAGCACAAACAGCATCAATAAAATCAGTATTCATGGAAGGCCTTTTCAAGATTTTAGCTGATTCTTCTGCAGACCAGAACTTTCCTCTGATGTGAAGGTGTTTCAGAGAAGTTACGCAGAGAAGATCTGACAGATTTCAGAAAATGCCCATATCACTTCTCCCAGCTGGTGGCTCTCCATGGCCTTGCTGAGCACAGTGCTTTACTCTGTCCTGAAAGCACTCCAGCCTGGTTGCCCCAGGACTCTGGAGAGTCACCGGAGATGCCTCGAGGAGCAGAAAGCCTTGGTTAAAAAAGCATCTTATCACCTTGTTGCCTGAGCATCATGGCTCAGCTTATTTCAAAGGCACATCTCCCTCAGTGCAGTCTGAACCTGGGTCTCCTTGTGAGGTTGGGTGAATATTTTCAGTATATAATACAGCAGGAGCGAAAGTTTGGAGTCTTGAAAAGATTGAAAGATAGAGATGAACATCAGCAAGAAATTAGCAATGAAAATGTACATGCTTAAACATGAAGGCCGCTAAAAAAAAAATACCAGAAGGAAAAACAGGACGTGGATGACTTCATTGCTCTGAAGATGATACTTTGTTCAAACACTGGGGAATGCTGACACAGGTTAATATGAACAATATATATCACACTTTAAGGCTACCAACAGCACTATATGTCCCTCTCTGAAGAGGAGTTACAGTCCCAATGACACCTCTGATGGCACAGTGGCCTAATTTACCATCCCCTTATAGATCAACTTGAAGCCCAACCATAAAAATGCCACAATATACATTATTTGTTGCAGTTCATTTAAAATTGCATATTCATATCTTGGCAATTGGGCATTTGCCATTTTTCCACACAGAAGCAACCTGAACAACTAGCAAATGATCTTTCAGTTGGTCAAATTAGTAAAGAGGGGAAGGGATTGCAGTGTTTCTGGGAAGCAATGTGTTGTACTGCTTCTCAAAGCTTTGATCTGCCTCATTGCATTAAGTGAAAGTGTCTAAATGTTACTTTATTTAGGAATAAGATCTGATTTGAAAATATCTTATAAACACCCACCATTCCTTCCCCCCAAAACAAAGCTTTTAGGTGGGGCAGAATCCTGTGTGAGCTGTACACTGGTGTGAATGCAGGTTTATTTACTGTCCTTCAAGCTGTAAACCCTCTGAGCCCATATTTTGCTAAAATTGTAGGAATTGCTTTTTTAGATAAACATCCAGAGTCTATGTATTCTGAGGTGAAATATTTTTGTATCAAATGCTCCTTAGAGCTTCCCTCTGGCCATTACAGTGAAAACACAAGGTTGTAGAAAACCAAACTACGGATTTCATCCAGCAAACTCCAAGCATTAGCAGTATAAGAGGACAAATATCCTCAAGCACCAATTTTCTGAGGTGCTGGTAACAAATTCAGTTCTTGTTTTCCACTGCCAGTTATCTCTACCAGGAGATAGGTACACTGCTGATGGGAACAAAAAGCTCACAAGCATTTCCATAGCACAGGTAGAATTTAGGGTGCCACAGATCACTTTGAGGTATCTACACACCGGCATTGACTATCCTGGGGTCTTGGACTACATTCAGACACCTGCATTTAACTGGAATTGAAGCCCACCCTAGAAGTTTGCACTGCACAGGGGTACCAGCTCAATGCTTAAGGGAATGAATAGCTCCAATCATTTAATAAAAGATGGAGTTGTTAATGGCTAGTATTTTTAGAGCGAATTCTGGGGCAACTTCTACCTAGAAACTAAGGGAGAGTTCTCCACTTATGATGGAGTTGCAACAGTGGGACCTTGTGATTGAGTGATATTCAACTAAGGATTGCAGGAAGCCCATCATGTATCTGAAGGAGATATTATTAGCACTGTGGTAGTGCTAACCATGAGGTTCACAGGGTAAGTGTTTTACTAAGCTAAGCAAAAACAGAAACAAATTCAACCAACATAAATAGCACTACCACTAACCTGCTAACACCTGCTATCTCTACAAATAAAGCACACATTGCGTTTAGTAACGTTTAGACTGAAATTTTCTCTGATTGATTTTTTTTCGGCTTTACTTTTTTTTCTGTCCTACTGGTTCATAAATAGGCAATCCTATAATGCTTTGATCACTTAAAGGCATAGATTGGTTTGGTTATATAACTGGTCATCTTCTTCCATGTCCTATGCTATTGCCATCTTTGGTTATGCATGTTAAAAAAAAAAAACTTTCAAGAGCAAACAAACTTTAAAATATGTTTTCTGTCAGCGTGATTCCACGGTATTCCTATGTAAAGAGATATGTGCAGCAGTTGCATCTTCAAATGCAAAATAAAAAATGCAGACCAGTGAAGCATGTTAGAAGTTTTGGCTTCTCATTTGTACTTAACTAAGCTCATAAAACCACTTTATTCAGTTACTTACATCCCCTAATAAAAGCCATGGGCCTTTTACAGTGAGTCAGTGCAAACTAAAATGTCGATATTCTGGTAATGTGGCATGTGTAGCTCTATGAATACAAGGAATGAGCATTAGAAACTGTTGTTCACTTCATGATGCTGGCTCCTAATCCTGCAGGAGAATCTGCATCAGTCTCTCTGGCTCAGATGTTGTGAAGGAACTTAAATCCTTATAACTGACATGCTGAAGAGCCTTGAGAGGATACGAATCGAACAGATAGGTAAAGCAGAAACTAGAAAATACATCCCAGCAGTGCACGAATCTCTTGTAGTGGGTTAGTTGTGTTCATTCTTATATATGAGAAGATCCTGTAAAATGCAAGCTGAGTATATGACCACGAGATACACTGCCTCAAGCTTGGGATGTCCCAGGCTTCAGATAAGTTTTTAGGGCCTGCAGGTGGCCTTGGGAAATGCCATATGAAAGACTCATTTATACCCTGCTAGCCATTGCTCATCCTTCCTCCCTTCTCCTCTTCCTCACTGCTGCAATTGTCCATGAGGATTTTGGAGATAATCTGCCCTTCCAATCCATATTCACAGAATCACAGAAATATGTACAATCAGGAATGAATAACAAAGTGTCTCTCTATGCTCCAATCAATACAGATTTTAACATTCTGCTTCATACTTCATTCTGATTCATACTTCAATCCTTTACTTAAAGTAACAACCTTCTCCAGGAAAACAGAGCACAAACCTTTCCTACCACAGCAAAACCATCCATGACTAGAGCAACGACTCAAGTCAAAATCAGACTACATGAGTGTTAGATTTTTAGACTTTTAAAGAGGGATGGATTACTCAGACTTATTTCTACGCTGGAAGCAAGTGGTTAAGTGGTTAATTTAAAAATCATTAATATAAAAAACGCTGAGTGCCTTGCAAAGCCAGACCTCATTCAAATAACACATTTTGGTTTGGGAAAATATCCCCCCGATGTACACTAGATGTCAGTGTTGGATTGAGACAATGATCCCACCTGCTCCCTTGAGTAACTCAATCCATGAGGCTGGATGACACTAGCATATGCATTCCTACGCTTAGTTTTTTTCTGATGTGTCCAGTAGTTATATGAGGCAACCTTCACAAATGCCTTCTCTACCCCACTTTGAAATATTTTAATTGGGCCTAGAACCAGACACTTATAAAAAGAGAAGAGACATCTTAAGACACCTTCCAGCGTCAATGAACATCAGCATAAAACTCCACCGAAGAGGACTCTAATAGACAGCAATACAACACAGAACTTGGCTGGCAAATAATGTGAGCAAAGAGGATGCTGATCAGGACTAGATTAAATTCTTGATAATTATACAATAATTATACAATAATTATATTCCCAATAAAATCTCAGATATGTCATTTCTTTTCTCTTACACAGCAGTAAAACCAAGATGACAATTTTCCTCTGCTTGATGGCATAGGGAAGAAAATGAAGAGGGAAAACAAAAAGATAAAAACACTCATGTTAGATGTTTGTGGCACAAAACAATAATCCAACCAATAAAAGAGGAAGAAAAGGAGCTCTGGCTTCTTTTGCCTATTTGGGTGGCTCAGTGACCTGGACCAGTGCTGTGCACTCATCCAGAGAAGTCAGGCAGGATTTTGATAAGTGAATTGTTAACCAACAGCGTCCTAAGGAGAAAGAAATGACACAGACAGAAAGTGTGTTTGGAAGAATAGTATAATTTGGCTTGTTTATACAACCTATTCATGTAAAACATTTCTGGGTATTTTACAGGCAAAATATATTTCTCTGGGAATTCCTAGAGATAAACCACAGAAATAGAAGGCTTTAAAGTGCATTCCTCTTTACATTTGGTTTAGGCAATGGGCAGCCCAGTTGCTGGAGTCCCAAGGACTCATGGAGTTCAAGGACAGTGCTACAAAAATCAGGTTCCTAGTAAGGTTGTCACACAAAAATAACCAATACAGCATTGCATCAGAACACTTGGCCACCTGTATGCTGCATTCACCTGTTTTATGGAGATTTCCAGCAAAATACTGCAAACTGCTATAAGACTTTAGGGCAAGAGCACACAGAACTGCAGCAGTTCTTCTAATGGAGCAAGGGGCATCTGTAACATTCCTCAGCTGTCTTCTTAGAACAGGCAACCTTGATTTTATCACATCACAATTTTTGTATAGCAATGTTATATATACTGACCGTACATAGTTACAGATCTGTGGTGTATAATAGACAGGTAAATCTGCAGTGAGTCAATTTGTAGAAAATAGGAAGAATAGTATTAGTAGATTCAAGGATAAATATAATATGTAACAGAATAGTCAATATATATTTTTTACAGAGAAAACATGAATCACAAATCTTTTAAAGTTCCTTGGAGGAGCATACAAACATCTGTAGTTTTTCAGAAAGATTTTGACAATGTGCTCCAAAGACCGTCAAGGTTGCTAATCTGTCATAGATTGAGAAAAGATCTTAATGTGATCTAAATATGGACAAATAACAGATTAATAACAGCGGGTTGAGGGGGAAAACAGGATCAAGTAATCACTGTTCACAGTAAATGAGGATAACCACCTGTTCTGTTCAACACGCCTATCCAGAAAAAGTGATTTGGAAGAGGTATAGGTGACAAGAAGAAAACAAAAAGGGATAAAAATATGGGATATAAAGGGAAAAAAAGAAAAAAGTTTGCTTCAGTGTAACCAAAACCGCTCAATGTTGGTAATTACATTACAAAATACAACTTTAAAAATCATTGGAAAGGCATGAAAGGTGAAACAGAAAGTGCTATAGCTTTACTTTAGAAATTGCTGATATGCCCACATCTTGAGTACTGTGCACAGTCCCGGTCCTCTCCTTCCAAAAACGGATTACAAAAATAAAGACAGGAAAGATACAGTGAAGAGAAGCAAAGACCAAAAGCAGAGCAGGTCTACAGCTACCTGCATAGCTACAGGCATGCAGATACAGAGAGAGCTACAGCATATGAGTCATCTACTTGGAAAGAGAGACTCTTTAGAGAGGTGGAATGTAGATCACTGGGGGCCTGGAGAAAGCAAACGGTGTGACTTGCCTCCCTTCCTCACAGTGTAAGATCCAGGGGCAACAAGAACTTTTTTCACAGAGCGCAGGTTTACCTGTGAAACTCAGTTCCATGGGACACTGTGTGCACGAGAGGAATGTATGAGAACAAACCATGTCAGTTATTGCCAAAAAAAAATAAGGACAATCAATGGCATTAAACTTTCAGCAGTGATCATGCAAGGCACACATTTAATGTTGTGCTATGACTTATTTTGCTGAATGGGTGAAATGAGAGGACTCTTTTAAAGCATGCCTGAACATCTTCCTGAACACCTATTGCATTAAAGCAGGAGACCATTTATTCTCAATGCAGTTTGGTAAGGCAGAACTTTCTCATGCTATTGGCCACAGGAATTGCTGTCTCACCTCTGTTGTTAGGCAGAAGATCACACTGAGAACACCGTCAAGAGACCAACTACTATCTATGAAAACATTGACTTTCTAAATTGATGGGAGATAGTGGTATGCATTTTTTTTTTAACAGCAGATCAGTATTTTAGTACTAAGTAGACATATGATACAACAATAAGATGACTACTGAAAACAGTTCTAGCAGAGGTGTTGATCATCTCATCTGGTTAAATCATACAGTAGCTTCTGTCTTTAGTTACACCTGCTGCACAATGCAGTTTGTCCAAGGATTATGCAGTGTCCTTCATCCGACTGTGAGAAACGTCCTTCTGGAAGATGTCTCTTAATCACCTCTGCTATTTCCTATTCCAGTTCTGGGAAATATGCTGAATCTTTTTCATCCTTCCCCTTTGGTCAAGCAGCCTATACCTCAGTGGATGTTCCTCAGATTTCTTGTGAGAGGCTGGGAAATAGGCTCCGGAGCTGTGAGCGTGCCTCCTGACGTGAGGCAGCTGAGGTGTGATGGCTGTAGTGATAGAGGAAGAACAACGATGGTTACCAAGTCTACCATTCACTCACTGGTGGACAAGAAATGAATTTGTCCATCCCGCTCAGTACAGCCTGTCTGCGTAAAGGAGTGTTGCTCAACCTTTGAGCCAAGACTCTTTTGAATTAATGGGTGGTTACAAAGTATTAGAAAAAACTTTAGGGGAAAAATGTGAAAATGTGTATTATAAAAATATGCAACTCTCAAGAACAAAAAAACAGATATCTCTAATAAGGAAATCTATGCAAACAGGCACCTCAAAATCCTTTATCTTATTAAGCTCTGTTATTAAGCCCTTATTAAGGCCTCCCAGAAGATCATATCAATACAGATGAATCCAAAGGAACAGACACAAGGTTAAGAAATGGAAGTTTAGACAGAAGATGAGAGTACCAAAAAGTCTAAATGAAGAAACAACTAACCTATCTACATATAGCTAACTGAAAACTTGTCTGTTTTCCAAATGACACTGAACAAGAGGTGAGCTTGAAGCTAAAGCCACACATGGGCTATGTATGAATTTGACTATTCCAAGCTCTCAGAACGTGTTTATTCTAATCTATGTCTTACTTTATTACATCTTTGCATGCATAAAAAAAAAAATGAAACTTAACTGCGACCAAAATGTATTTGTCTTACTCTATGTTATTAAATGAAAAATAACCAAACAGTAAGTGATTTATTAACATGATAAGCACTTTAAAGAAGTCATTGCCCTCAGCATAAAATTCTAATAAGCTGAAAAGAGTCCCCCTTAGGAGCTTGTTAACTTCAAATTTTACAATACAGTTACAATTTCATCTTGTTAATCTCCTTAAATGATTAATTGTACTCTAAAACATTAAGAAAATTAAGAAATAAGGGACAAAAAATAGTATAGACTTCATAAACATTAAGAAATACATATCCACATGTACATAGTCATATACTTTCCTGTTCTCAAAAAGATTGGCATTCAGAAAAGCATCATTAAAAGCTTGAAAAGTATCCATTAGATGAGTTACTGTTCATTGAGGCACATTCACTTTACAAATTCATTCCATTTTCTTTACTCAGCATGGATTCAGCCAAACTATTACTGGATTTTCCATTGCTCAGCATGGGGGAATGTTTATCGTTAACTGGAATTTTACTGGAGTTGTTGCCAGCAGAGATGAGTTGGCTAATAAGTATAAGGGGTTTATCCAGAACACTGACAGTGCCATTTATCATTCAAACACAGAAGCTGATAAAGGGAATCTATGCCATTTAATTTCTTTAGGCTTCAATGATTCCAAACAGGAGATGGAGACGGGGAGAAGATGTTTAGGACTCCAAACTTAGATGTCTGTTCCCAGGTTTCTCATTGACTCAGCGTCTGATCTGGACAGCATCATTCATCCTTGTTTTTCCATTTATAAAAGGAGAATAATAGTAAGAATACTTACCTCAGAGAATGTGTATGGGACTCAGTTATCATTAGCCAAGGTCTTTAGGAGCTTCACATACATGTACAGACTGACGTGTTATCAGTTTCTAACCTTGGTGCTGCTAAGACATGGACTTATATATTTCTTTTTTTGAAAAATAATCGGAATTATTTTTAAGACATTGACTACACCACGCAATAAAAGCATGGTAAAATATCCAAACAGTGCCAGCATAGACTGCGATGGCTACACAGGAAGCAGAGGGACAGTTCAGACACCGAGCAGACAAGCAGATGAAGAGTGTGTTGATTGCTCTCTTTGCACTGGCCAGCAAGACATGCATCCCAGCATCTTGCAGCTGTTCAAACATCGTGTGGCTAGGACCATTTCCACCACTTACTCTTCTCATCATTTCTTTAATGCAATTCTTTTGATTTTTCACAGAGGTACAGAGGTCTGGACTCCTGCTGTCTCCTTGGTGGAAAACCTATGCCCTATGACATTATGCCTGGATTTGCTAAAGATAGGTAGTCATTGCAAATGAGAGAGACCTTCCTGCATGTCAGAGCTGCTGTTTGCTAGACTAGTTTCTAGTCACTGGTAGAAAGCAGTGACTTCTAAAAAATGGTACTTCTTTTTCTACTCAGTACTGAAAAATGTATTCCCTTAATAACAATTTCAGACATTTTTTTTTCTTTCTAGAAGGCTCCAGTGAATAAAGCCTGTCTTTAACTCATGCTTTCATACTCCAAGATTTCTGTAAGGCATCGAAGAATTCGGTGTGCTGAAACTCTGCAGCCAAATGAACACATCAAAGATTTAAACAAAATAAAGAATCTCTAATTCTCGGTTTCCCACCTGTGCTATATAAAAGATGTATTTATGTGCATATATACATATATAAAAAACACATATATGTACTTATATGCCTAAAATTGGCAATTCTTTTAAGGACATGAACAGTATAAAGGAAGGGAGAAGAAGCTGACCTTCAAATGCCTGTTCAAAAGTCAGCAGGTATTAGAGAAGAGTAGAAGCACTGACTGCAGGTCTGATGGCCCTCTAATAAGAGAGGACCAGAAGAGATGGCCTTTTAATGAACGAAGGCACCTAATTAGAAATATATATATATTTTCCTGCTGCACTGAGCGCTCAGTGCAGGGGTAACTACTTTCACTTCTTCAAATTGCTCACATGCTACGGAAGAAAAAACGTAGTCAATCAGATTGTAACTAATATCTTCAGGTTCACGGATGCCCTTACTGTATGTTCTCCTTGCAGGCTCCTTGAAGTTTCATCTTCTGAACTGAGAAAATGTAGCCTTTTGGGGAAGCAGCAGTGGCAGCTGCTACAGTGTGAGGCTGAACTGCCGGACGAATTTTCTGATTTTTACTAACAGTCAAGCTTGTCTGACAATGCATCTCCAGGCAGGAACACTACCAGGGCACTTTCAAGTCCACAACAGCTTATCCTCATATAAAATTTCTGAGCTTTGTGATCTCTTGGAGATTTCTTCCTCTCACTCCAATGCACTTTAAACTGACAAGGCCCAGATTAAAAAGTTATTGATGAGGAGGAGTGACCAGTTTTCTAGTAAAGAGAGAGATGGGATCATACCCATATGCTGCCTGGTCTTGTCAGCATCACTTACTTAGAAGTGAAACTACATCCAACAAAATAAAGCTTCCCATCCTTTTGAAGGCTCTGCATGCCATCCACAGAAAGAACAGCAAGACAATGACATTTTCTCAAACAGGAAATTGTGTGCGTGCATATGTATTTACAGCAGACTGTTTCCTAACTAAGCATTAATTAGTGGCTGCCTCCAGCGAAAGCAAAACCCCTGAAAAGTGAACATATACTAATCACAAAAAAACAAAATCATAACGGCTGTAAACAAAATGCATCACTGGGGATATATAAATAGAAATTATTATACTTCTATCTACTCCCCCTAGCATATATAAATACTTGCATGGAAAGAGTTGATTTGCACATTGTGCTGGAGCAAAGAGCAGCAGAGGAGCATGTGGGAAGGTACTAGTGTTAAACAGGCAAAGAGAGGAAACCTACTGAGTTCCCAAGCCAGTCAATGCCAAAACATACACATAAAACACGCATAAAGGCAATCTTTAAGAGAGGGTTGAAACACAGCTTGTCATTCCATAAGTGTCAGCCAGAAGGCACCTCTAAAATTCAGTGTGAGATTGTCCCAGCGAGTATTGCTTTTGGAAGTAACCCTGAGCTGGCAGCAAATCCACAAAGGTTGGATCCACACAACTCTGAAAAGTCTCCTGTTGCGAGAAGGGGCATTACTGGGTGGACTGCTCCCTTCACTCAAAGGCTAATCCTTACTAGGATGGTTTTCTAATCTAATTCTTTATCAGTTAACAGATCCTTAGGTCTGAAGGGTTTAAAATGGAATAAGTGCTATTATTCCCAAATAGATGAGGAAACTGAAGTGTAAAAGAGCAATTTGAGTAAAGTCAACCAAAAAGTCCATGATAAATAGGAAGCTATGCTTTGTAGTCTATGGCAAAACCCTCTTTTATGCTTTATACACTCTACCTTTATATTCTTATGGTCTGCAGGCCAAGGGCAATTACTACACATAAGAAGAGGCACTAGATTTCTTGTTTAAATGTGCTCACCAAAGGACTAGTACATTAAAAGTGGTATAGTGCTGGCAAAATGGATGAAAAAGCAATACGCAAACCATACTTTTCAAGCATATATGTCATCCAGCGTAATCGTGTCAAGAACGTACTAAAGGTGAGATAGTTTTGAAATTAGTTCTGTTGATATTAGATGATGGCTAGGGCTAAAGTGTTTCATGATTGTTTTATTCCACACTTTTTTCTTCAACATGATATAAGAAAACTATCTCGGAAAAAAAAAAAAGATCTTCAAAGAGCATGGAACCTGTAAGAAAATCGTGAAAACTTGCAAGGAAGTAAACCCTCCTCAATACAAGAATTTAAAATTTGCTGAAACTATATGAGAAATAAGAGATATATAGGTCTAATACTTATCACCACTGGTGATACCAACTGACCTGGCAAGGTAAGGCGGTTTGCTGAGGAATCTGAGCCTGACGAGTCAGCTGAAAATCGCTTTGGGCCTTTAAAGAGAAAGATTAGTTTCAGTAGAGGTGGGTGAACTGTAATCCCACCAGCAATGAAAAGGCTTTTCCCAGTTCTACCACCACTATACAATGTTGTCTTCTGAGCAGGCTTGCAAGGAAGTTAACCTGACGTAAAACTTTTGAAAGACAGTGGCAAACAGTCAACATCAAATGCATTTTTTTTTAATATACTGAGCACTTAATGAGTATGAGTGGCTACTGACTGCAATTTTCCTATTCTTAAGAACACATACTTTCCAGTTTTGTACCTACAAACTATTGCAAACTCTCAGACAACTTGCTCTACCTCCAAGCACTTGCAAAACTGACAATATGTTGATTTTATTCTCTAATGAGGTACTGAAGACAATTGTATGTCACTTACCTTAGCTTTGAGGTGTTTCAGTGAGCGGCTGGCACCGTTTTTGGCATCACCAGCTGATAACTGTTCTGTGCGTTTATGTCATTGGATAGATACTCACAGAAAGGTTGACGTTGGAAGGGATCTCTAGAGATCATCTAGAACAACCCCCCTGCTCAAGGAGGGACCCCTAACCATTAGCTCCATGCTCTTCATCGTTGCTTGCATCACTCTACTCCAGAGAAGGGGCTCTGATACTGCATTTGCAAGTGGAGATGAGTGGCCCAGAACACTAGATGCCTTTTCCTAGTCATACTTATTCTCTTTACACTCCCAGTCTGCATTTTAGATCTGAAGATCACAGTTAACTACATCAATGGCCTCAATATTAATAAAATATAGTGGTTTGGTTTTGTCTCTACTTGCAGTACTGGAGGTAAATTAAGAAAAAAAACAAGCCAGCAAGTTATCAGAACACAAGCAGGTGCAGTGGCAAGCACATTGCACCAGCAAACATTTAGGTATATCCTTGGAGACAGCGTTTTCCCTCTATTTAGACAGCATTTTCCCTCTATTTAAATTGTAAACCACCTAAATTAACCAGATGGCAACAGTGTTTGCTCAATAAATATGCTAGGGATTTGGAAAAAAAAAAAAAAAACCAAAGCTTTTAAAACCAAAAACCGAAGTTTTTAAAAGCTAGATATGAAGAAGGTCAGAAAGCTGAAATTAGAATGTAACCCTCTGCCCCCAAGCTATTTCGTTTCAGAAAATAAGTCAACATTTAGGTATGAAACCAGATTCAACAGTCTCACAATTTTAGTGAGAATTCGTCCACCCACCGCATTTCTGATTTCAGGCAGATGTCACATATTCACAAACAGGCCCTGCCCATGCAAGAGGGCAGACTGAAGTTGGGATTACTGGAAGACAAAGGACATTGCCATCTAGAGGAAAGGGGAATCCTGAGGTCAGTAAATCCAGTCTGCAAACAGGTAGAGATTTACCTCAGATTCCTTAAACAAGCTATTTCCACCCTCTACCACAATTTAACTGTCTTCAGACAACTATAATGCCAATAGCTCATCCTCCTCATAGCACATCCTCCTCCTGAAGAGCAGTGGATGCTGTCCACGCAATGTTCCCACTAAGCTAAAAAACACTTGATTATTGACGAGTCCTCTACTAGCACCCTGAGATGGATACTGGAAAACAGATCGCAAGTCCCTCGCCTGGACTGAATGTAGAAAGCACCAGAACAAAGTCAACCCTTTTACCGCTTTGAATCAAATAGAGCAGAGACCTCATTGTTTTTATTTGGTAATAAGATGAACATACATGGACTCAGTTACAGAAAAACTGGAATGTTGAAAAATGTTTTATACATTTAGAGACCACAAGCCTCTTTTTCAAATAAGGACCTAACAATAAATACATATTGTTTAAAACTATTCTCAGAACAGTTGAGAATACTTGGCATTACATGGCATGATTCATATCAGCATTTTTTTTCCTTAATGAGTCTTTATCGAAATAGGTTTTTGGATACCCTACCCTCCCAGTCCCAAGAACAAACTTCCATTGAATTTTGCTTTGAAAATGGATTTTGATTTGTTTTCCATCCCCTGGTGCAAAATAGTACAATAACCTGCCTCTTACCTCCTTGAAAAATGTTAGAGACCAGGTGTATATGGTTTATTTAGTCCCGTTCAGGAAATATATCTCCATGATCAGTTCTGCTAACAAAAACATACTCTAATGTTTATATTCAACTTCATACATATAATTCCCTGCAGAATGCCAGCTGAGAAAAGGTTATTTTACAAGACCAAGATCCTTGAATTTGGTTAATTTCCCCTTATCCCCTTCATGGATAGGTTTAACATTCCTTAGCTTCATTAGGACCCGTCACTACACATTTAAGCAAAGCTCAGTGAAATCTACTGTCACAGGTAAGCTGTAATGTTCTTCCTCCTTGCTGAAGGTAGCCAACGCACCAACATATCCTTTTTTTAGAAGTGCCTACTCATTAAAGTGGCTGCAAAAAGTAGCATTATAGTCACCAAGCAAGATTTTTTTAATTTAACTATATTGCGGCGGAAGCTGCTCCTACCACAGCAAAGGAAGACAGCACTACCCTGATGCATTGGCTTTGCACGGAACCGTCCCGCATTTAACAAGATGCACACATTTTGAGTATTTAGCCTTTGGCCCCAGATGCTGCAGTGAGACTAGCAGGACTTTGCATGCAACTTCCTTTGATTTCAGTGCAACTAAAAGAGTGATCAGGCCCTATGTATTATCTTGCTGTAAGCTGATGTTGCAAATGCAATGGCTTTTGCCTATAGGGGCAGAAGGGGGAGGAGGAAAGGGAAGAAAAATATTCCTGTGAGAATCTGGGCCTGTAGACAACCAGAAGTTCTGGTAAAACCCCAACCAGAACCCTACAATAAAAATAGCAAATATTTAAAAAAATTGCATATAAAATTGTATAAAAATATCATCCAAGCAAGAAGAAAAGGAAAACGCCCACTTTGCCATTCTACTGCTAGGTTTTATCACTAGAAAACCCCAATGGTCATAAGTAATTTTTTTGATATATGCACTCCTACAACCACCAGCAGAGTCAATGGGATTACACATATTCCTCCTACCACTGGATAGCTTCTAAAACTGGGGGATTACAAGAACACAAAAGCCTATACACATGCACTGGGAAGCAGTCAAAAGAATGTAAAATGCCAAGAACATGCCCATGAGGCTTGTGAGAGAGTGCTGTTGTGTGCTTAGGCATGAAAGCAAATTAGCCAAGACTGGGCTCTGGACTGGGAGGCCTTCATTGCTTCAAGTCATGAGCCTGTTTGCCTGGAAGTAGCTCTTTTTTTTTCTACCCTCTACTCACGTCACCAGAGCAAAGAGCTCACACCTGTAAGAGAGACATAGGGCTGATAACGTGTGTCACAGTCATTCTGGGGTATGGATCAGAAATCCCTATGTTTGTTCAGGAAAAAAGGGAAATGGAAACACAAGGAGAAAAGAAGGACCCAGCCATCTGGGAATGCATGGACCACGTTTCATTTTAACAGTAAAATGTCATCATCAGTGGACATGCGCTATGCGGGTTCTTTGAGCACAGCACTCAGGCAGGGAAAGCGCTGCTTGGGATTATAAAACTCACTTCCCTGCGAAAGCGAAGTGAGGATGATAGTAGGACATACACCTGATGTTAAACTGAAACTGAGGCAGACCTGCTCATCCTGTGAGATGGCATCTTTACCTTCTTCGGTGAGAATAGAATTTGTGTCATAAAAATGTGAAAGCCTTTTTTCTCCTTTCCACCTGGCCAGCACTGACAGCTGCTTTCTCCAGCAATGCGCATGGAGTCTATAAAACACAATCAAAACGTAACACATATAACATATAAGAGCAGTGCCAGCTGGGGTGCCACCACATTCGCATGCTGGCTTTCAAACGTGGGATCACTACATCTCTGATATTGCCACTGGTTCAACACATGTGAAAGCACAAGGTCACTCTTCAGCTTTTAATTGTTGGATGAGGTGATAGATTAAAAGAAAGTAAAAGGAGAGGATTTGAGCATGCTGTCATTTGCTGAGTATAAATAGCCAGTGTATAGATCACCAGAGGATGATATGTTTCATCATTATAAAATGATCTGTGAAGGAAAATGAGCCAGTAAGACATATTTAAGCGCATCTCATGAGTTCCTGGAGATAGACTAACTGATTCTAGTTGAGGCCAAAAGAGTACTTGCTCTCTTGAGAAAAATGAGTACTAGTTATTTCTCATCATTTCTAATCTGAAAGGAATTATTGTGGTTTTTAATTAAAAATCAGTTCTGAGATCCTCTGTAGAATCTGCAAGGACTAACAGAGGAAGTGTTTGCTGTTCCCTTTAGTTCTTTAGATCATGGATCTCCTGATTACAAAGCAGCTTTCTCTACCACGCTAAAAACTGTTCAGTTCAAACTTCTTGATTTTAGATTGAGCACGTATGACCTTTGAGTTTGTATATCTAAACACTCTATACTCAGATGGTATGCTGTCAAAAACAATTTTCTCTGACATAAGCAACTATATTTTGGAAAGTTTTTCTTCAACCACAGATTTATGTTTAAGAAACAAAGCAGTGAGAAAGAAGAATCTGGCTCTTCCTTTCACCAATGAGGAACAAGACTCCTGAATTCCAGACTTGTTTTGTTACTCCACATCCTATTGTATGAAAATATAGCAGCTGAAGCTACACAAGAGGCCAAACTTTAGGTATTCGTCTGCTCAGACTGACAACTTTGAAGTATGTTTTTTTTTTTTTAAATTTGTTTTTAATCTCCTACCTATTTCTTGCCTCTGGGAGGACAAAAAAAAAAGTTGATAAGTTGATAGCAACTATCCTTTTTCCATAACCTGGAAAGAAACAGTGAGATCCATCACCCTTTTATAAGGAAACTCATGAATCTGACTATATAACTTAGATGAAAGAAGTTGTGTAGGTTGCAAGGAAAACTGGTGGACATAAGCATTAGTTGATCTTATGTCTTTGAAAGGGTGCACCACAGCCATTATAATCTAAAAAATTAAGAATAAGCGAATCCCTTTTTTTCTCATGTGGGAACACT